ACAAATTAGAAAATTTTTTGTGATGCATTTCAAACATTAAGATTTCATTGAACTGGGCTTTATTGATGTTGCCATGTCTACACATGCACACAAAACTAGAGATGCTGTTAGCTTCAAAATTTTTGAAAGAATATTTTTTCAATCTACCCAAATTCATCCATATTCTTTTTCTTTTTCTCTCCATCACCTTTGTCTCTGACTATCCCACATTGTGACAACAGAAAAATACCAAGAATGGTGATATATATTATTATAGTGTCATATGAAGGTGATAGTTAAAAGTTCACAAATATTCTAAATATTTCGCTGACAGAGATTAAAAGTCAAACAAACAATGTTTCAGCTGTTGTGCCCTTCTTCAGGTTCTTGTTGATCCAGGTAACTTTCAGGGAATTTCAAACTAAACTTTTTATTTAAAAAAAGATTGTCCTAATTCCACTGTCCATGCCTTCGGATATCTTGTGTTGTTCTTTTTAAATGAGATATTCTGAGACATGAACATTTAGCAATGCTTGCCCTGTTTCCAGAGTTTAAGTGACCGTAAAAGTATTATGTCACCAAATTCATGAACAAATACTTTGATGTACGAGACTATTATCCAGAGTGACCAAAAACTGAGCTGTACTAAACAAAAACAAGCAAGATATCCTCAGACATGGACAGTGGAACAAGAACAGTCTACCCATGTAGATTAAATAAAGGGTTCAGTTCAAAATTCTCAGAAGATTTTTTTTAATCTGTTTCACAAGGTGGAAAAGCCACTATAACTCAAGGAGTTACTGGGTAAGGAAGAATTAAAAACAGAAACATTACTAATGATCAGGAAGAGAAAAGAGAAATCAAAATGACAGGAGGTAGCAATAGACATTGCATTTAAATTTTTGCAGATTAAAATTGGATGGAAAGCATGGAGCCAGAAGGGAGTTCTACAAGTGAGAAGTGTGAGAAAAGAAACTGTTAGCATAGAATTTATGATTACATCTAACCAGCTCAACTCTAAATTGATGAGATTTTGACACCAGTTTATTACTGTGCTTATATTCTGTTATGGTCCAATATCCTCGCACCACAGTTATGGTCCAACGTTAGAACCAAGGAACAACACGAACACAAGAGTAGAATAACAAAGATATATTACAACAGAAATATAGTACAAGAAGTTGAAGGTGTTAGTAATGGCTGTTTGTCTGGTTTAGAGTGAACTAATATTGTCTCAACTCGTTACACCATTCATTCGTTATACCTCTTGAGAGGTGCAGTATTTATAATGTCAGGAAGAGTCCATTCTCGTTATAGGTAAGTTCCAATAACACATTCATAAAGTCTAGGTATCATAGCAAAGAGATCATCTGGACAATTACCATGAAAGTATTTATAGAAAAGAAACAGAGAGGCAACCTTACAGCAGTAGGAAAGTAACAGAAGCCAAGCCACCAGACCAGCACTGATAATATTGCTGATTCTTCTTTGGATTTTATCAAAGAGCTCAAGGTAAATATCAGGAGTACTGGATCATATGTGGCAACAATATTCTGAGCATGGTGGAAAAGTGACAGAAGCGAAGCTACCAGATCAATACTAATAATATTGATGGTTCTTCTTTGGATTTTGTCAAGGAGCTCAAGGTAGAGATCAGTGGCACTGGACCATATGTGGCAGCAATATTCTAAGCATGAAACAAATGGTAGACTTACCAAAATTGACAAGCATCTGTTGAAGGATAGAGAGCACTATGGCTGAAACAGGGTGGTAATAAAAGCAAAGATGAGGACAATAGTCCAAATGTAAATAATGTAAGTTAAACTGAAATAACTCTTAACAGCAAGAACAACTCAAATCACAAAGCACTGAATGCATTTTATCTGTACAAACCTTAGTAGAAGCATGTAATTTTAAATTCAGTGAAATTGATTCAGATAACAATCTATAAAATGACAGTGTTTATATGGATGATGATACTGAAATTATGTCAGATAATGATAGTATATTGGCCAATTTGAAGGTAGAGAAATGTTATGTGTTTACCTGACTACTTTACTGTTTACTACACTGTTAAATGATCTAGATACCAGAATGGAATTCATCCATTCTCATTTTGTTTCATGAAACTTAGAAAAATCAATTCCAAATAGCATTTCTTCTACAGAGAAAATTGTTCATTACAATCAAGGATAATGTTATTGGTTATTGTTATCAAAATCAGTCAGTCCCAAACACTTTTAAAAAGTTCCTCTTATACAAACAATGATTTCAAGTCAATAAATTTTGCCTTAATAGTTTTATAAAGTAAAATTGTTTATAATAATAGAAATAATAGCATAACAAGGAATTTATAGTAATGAAGTTGTTCCAAATTTTATATTGTAAGTTGTTCCAGTTTTTATATTGCAAAATATTCCAGTTTTTATATTGTAAATCCTTTCACATTTTATATTGTAAAATGAATGTAAATTGTTCTAGTTTTTATATTGTAAAATATTACAGTTTTTATATTGAAAATTGTTTCAGTTTTTATATCAAAAAATATTCCAACTTTAATATTGTAAATTATTTCAGTTCTGATATTGAGAAATTGTTCCAGTTTTTATATTAGAAAACGTTAGTTTTTATATTGTAAATTGTTCCAGATTTTATATTGTAAAATGAATGTAAATTGTTCCAGTTTTTATATTAGAAAACATCAGTTTTTATATTGTAAATTGTTCCAGATTTTATATTGTAAAATGAATGTAAATTGTTCCAGTTTCATAATGATAATCCCTCATTGCAAAAATTTGGATAAAAATTTTAATTTCTGCTTGAATTTTTGTGATGAAGAATTATTATTATGAACTAAATTTTTTCAGACCATTGTCTTCATCTTGGGTGTTATTGTTACATTTCAGCTGTTCTGTACTCTGTTTCTTCTAGTTTTCTTCAGGCATCTATCATAGGTGGTAACCTTGCAGGAATTTTGTACCAAACTCTTTATTCAATCCAGAGGGGTTCATGGTTCTCATTTCACTCTTCATGCAAAAGGACATGTTCTGGGTACAGGGACCAGAGTATGAAGGCATTGGTTAAGTGAATTGTGTTACCTGGTAGTGATGATGATGAGTTCAATCCATAGGCTGGGTAGTGCAAAAAGTGTCCTATGTTCTGGTTCAATTGAATAGAGATGCAGTATCACAAGGATAAATTAACTTGAGTGAATTAATAGATATGAGAACTCGTCTAGCGTGGACAGTGGAATCAAAATAGTTTCTTTACTTGCTCTTCCTGACAGTGTAATTCGCTTCCACTTACTTGCTTCCCTGATAACTACAATCTTCAAGAATTTAAATGCAATATCAATCACCATCTTCTTTTGTCTAGAACCCTATTCATCTTCTATTCTTTCTTCAATCCCCCCTATACCCAATCTTTTCTCTCACTTTCACTTTCTGTACACCCACCACCTGTGTACTAGTGACACTCCTGCCTTGCTTGGGGTGAAATAATTTTTAAAAAATTTATCCCTTTGGATTAAATAAAACAAAAATATTCAACTTCAATGAGAGACTAAGTCATAATTTGGCATCCCTAAACCTGTTTTAATATATAACATAAATATCTAAAATATCCTCCTCCACCTCCTCCTTCTTTTCTTTGTCCTCCTCCTTTCTTCTTCTTCTCTCCATCTTCCTCTTTTTCTTCTTCTTCTTCTTCTTGCTACATCTCTTCAGGTAAAGATTTATCCTTGTCTTATGTCCCTTTCTATTTTTGGTGTAGTTGCTCAATTTATTTTCTATCCATATGCAGGTGGTTCGCTCCCAGAAAATATTCCAGATTATTTTAATATCTTTCTCAAATAAATTAAATTTTTCTAACAGTTCAAATAGATCTTTGTGTTGTACCTTATCAAAAGCTTTTGTACTGGTTATAAAACATTGGTATATATCCTTTCACATTTATATATCCTTTCATTTTTATATATCCTTTCACATTTATATATCCTTTCACATTTATATATCCTTTCACATTTGTAATGCTCACTCTGATATTGTACTGATTATGAATATTGCATTTCTTGTTCCAATGTCTTTAATGAAACCAAACTGTTCTAGCCCTATTTCCAGTCTAATTCTGCTATGTGTTCTATTCTAAATTACTTGGTGTTTTATTCCTAAATTATAAAGTTACAGTATAGAATTTTTTTGGCTCCTAACCCCAGATACATGATATGTTAAAAATAAATTAAGTTAACAAGGCGCTGAACTCTGAATAATACATCATCATCATCATCATCTTGATTATCATCATCAGCAGCAGTATTATCATCAGGGGTGGTCATAGCTAAGTACTTGACCAATTCCTTCCACATATCTGGGTTGGAAGAAGCTCTGGAGCTATTCATTCATGTGCATTGTGTCTTGGACAAGTAAACCTGGCAGAGCCCATCCCTCTTCAGTTCAAACCACATCTGATGTCCTCTAATTTAAAAGTTCAACTTGTTCATGATGTACCTTCTCACCAGACTTATTCAACCTTTACAAGGAAACAATCCTGAGAAGAATCTAAGTCCTACCAGAAGCCATTATTGGCAGCCACAATCTTGCCAACAAATTTCATTTTAAGGAAACATTCAACATTCATTCACTAAGTAACCAATACCGCTTTTAGTTGAAATTTATAAAATCTTTCTCATAAAATGATTTTTCAGGAAAATAGGTTTCTCAAATCCAGTAACTGTTATTGCTCTTTCCAGTATTGATGGGAGTTTCCTTCCTAACCTTTTGTTTAGAGTCATGAGAAACATCAGGCTCTTTATTATGTCATTATATTCTCTTTGAGTAATATGTCATAAAGACCTAAGATATATGAAACAAAAATCAAAATTGTCACACTTGAGCAATCAAATAAAAGCAAAAGAAATTGTGCTCAGGATTTTATTAAAAAACAAATGCCAGTGTTTCTGAAATGAAGTCTTTCATTTATCATCGTTTTGGTTTTTGTTATCAAATTTCTAGAACATATAAGGCTTATGGCCATATCACATTGAAACACCAGTTCCCATACAAAGCTAAGCAACATCAAGCCTGGTCAATACCTAGATGGGTGACCACTTGGGAATACCAGGGGCTGTAAGCTTGGATATGCAGTTGGTGTAATGGATAATGGCTCGGAATTGTTAATCAGAGAACCTAGTTCCAATTCTAGTTAGCAGTTGTTATATTCACTAATGCACAAATACCCTTGAATCCACCTCTTCTTTCCACAGCTATAGGGTAATTAATAAGACTTGTATCTTAACTGTTCTTTTATCAATCTCTCTCCTTATTCTTTCACATTCAGTAACCCTTTGCATCTTAGTGGCTTTATTTCCTTGCTTGAGGAAAAATGACTAAACAAAAAATTGTACTGTTATTGTACATATTCTCAATAACAATTTTTATATAGTTTTCTTTAATAGTCTGTGCCGAGATTAAAAACTGCCTAGTGTTCTACTGAGTCAAATGACTTTTCATAGTCAACAAGCATGAAGTAAAATGGTTTGATATATTCTATTGTTTTTTAATCAGTTGCTCTATTCTTTTTATATAGTTTGTTGTTGTATAGCTACTCCTAAAACTTGCTTGTACACGTGGATGATTTTCAGCTAGTGTCTTTGTTAGTCTGCAAGTACTTTTGACAATAATTCATATCTACTTAATAGTAATGTGATAGGATGATAATTGACAATGTCTTTATTATCTCCTTTTTTATAAGGTAGAAATACTATTCTTCCATGGAGGTTTTGATGTGCCTTTCTTACTTCGTATATACAGGATAAATAGTTGTACTAATCGTTTGTGGTATTCTTCTGTTTTAAGAGAACTCTTATGATACAATCTTCATTTGGTGTTTGTGTGCATTTCACATTTTCAAATGCAAGCATTGTCTCATCCATTGTTACTTTTAGAACATCACTAGTGTCTGCTAAAAAAAAATAGGGTGGAAGAAAATATCAGCAAAGGGAAGAGCTTGAAATGTGTTCAGTCCACACATATATATATATATATATATATATATATATATAGATAGATAGATAGATAGATAGACAGATAGATAGATAGATAGATAGAGAGACAGGAATATTTGCTGATGCTTTTTGACATTATCTTTTGTCTCTTAGCTGATCAATATGACAGATTTCAAAATTTTTGATACCACTTTGGCCCAAATATCTCCAGTTATTTTATTCAGGGCAACCCGCTTAAAGTTAGTATGAGCCACATTGACAGTTGAGGGTTGCTCTTTCACATGGCTTTATATCTTAGCCACAGCCATTCACTGTCAAGAGGGCTGTGCATGAAGACCTTAGGTATTCTGTCATAAATCATCCTTGCAACATGACTGGCACAGCAAATTTGTGACTGCATCAGGGAAGTCTCAATTCCACCAATGTTGCATTTTGTGAGATCATCATTGAACACCCTATCATCAAAAGTATAGCCACAGATCACATGGAGACAGCTTTTGTGGAAGACATCCAGCTAATTGACATGGGACTTATATGGAGTTCACAATTCTGAGCCATAAACAGAGTGGTCAATACGGCTGCTCTATAAACATGTATTTTGATGTTCCATTTGAGATACATGTATATATATATATATATATATATATATATATATATATATATATATATATATATATATATAGATAGATAGAGAGAGAGAGAGAGAGAGAAACAGACAGACAGACAGACAGAGACAGAGAGATAGACAGATATGAATAAGGTATATTTAGGCAGCAAGTATTCATCCAAACAAGTTTAATTAAAATAACCAACAAGGTGTGTTTAACTTTTTATTTCATTTTTCCAATTTTCAAATATGGTGTTGAATATTGCGCTCAAAGTTGTGGATAAATTGTACAAAGTTAATAATTTATTATTGCTTTGTTCAAGTACTTTCAACCACTGCAGTCATTTTCAAGAACCAACATGGTGTCTTTTATGGTAGTTAAAATTCCTTATTCTACATCCTGATATTCTTTGAAAAGCTGGAAGTTTGAAATAGTATTTTATATACTATTTTTATATATATATATATATATATATATATATATATATATATATATATATATGAACATTTTAAGATAACATTTATACATATATCTTAAAAGATATGACAAATGAAACAACATTGTGCTATTGTGTCAGAAATATAAAAAACATGAAGACAAGATTAAATTGTTCTCAAGTTGGAATGTTATGTTAAAAGAGGCATAATAATGTATTCAAATCTTTTTCTCCATCTCTCTCTCTTTTCTCTCTTATATATATATATATATATATATATATATATATATATATATATATATATATATATATATATATATATATATATATATATATGTGAAAAATATATAGAAAATAGGAAGGAACAGGTTAGGTAAATAATCCAAAGTCCCTTAGTATTTTAGTTATTATTTTTAAAAAATAGTGCTCGATAAAAGTAGAGAGCATAAATATAATTATTTATTTAAAATATGATTCCAAATCGCTACATAAGAGGTCTCATGTTTCAAAACTAGAGCGAAAACTTCAATATAATCCTTTAATTAATTGAGTTGAAAGTTTCGTTCCATCCTCTCGCCGAAATTTCAGATATACGTTATTCCAACAAAATTTCGCTTGAGGATGGAACGAGCCCATTTTACTTTCAACTCAGTTTAATTTAAAGGATTATATTGATGTTTTCGGCTCTAGTTTTGAAACATGAGACCTCTTATGTAGCGATTTGGAATCATATTTTTAAATAAATAATTATATATATATATATATATATATATATATATATGAATTTGCATGAATATATACATTTGTATGTGTATATACATATATATTACAACTGTTTACACAGGACATCACTTAGAATTGATTCCAATTCTAGCATTGTATAAAAACCTAGGATCCAATCAACAAATTTTGCCTACCATTGACAACACCCAGTTCTTGATAATGACTGAGACTGAGTCAAAAGTACTTGAACAAAACAGAATAATTATGAACTTTGAACAGTTTATCCACAATATAGATCTTGTTTGGATCTATATTTTTGTATAAATGCTGGACAATCTCCAAACAGATGAGGGAAAAGCTATACAGCAGAAATGCGTTTCTACAGAAAGATACTGAAAATTTCATGGAAGGAGTGAGTAAGCAACTAGGAAGTCTTACAGAAAATGGCAACAGAAAGAACACATATACTCAGAATAAGGAAAAGATGGCTGAAATTCCTTGAACACATAATGCCAAAAAACAATTTTTTTAATTGATTTTTATTGATTTTCATTTGTTAAGCCTCTTTCCTAAATTTCCTAGAAAGCCTACCTCATTTCCTAGAAGGCCTACCTCATTTCCCAGAAGGCCTACCTCATTTCCCAGAAGGCCTACCTCATTTCCTAGAAGGCCTACCTCATTTCCTAGAAGGTTAACCTTATTTTCCAGAAGGCCAACCTCATTTCCCAAAAAGCCTACCTCATTTCCAAAACAGCCTACCTCATTTCCAGAAAACTTACCTCCTTTCCCAGAAGGCCTACCTTGTTTCCTAAAAAGCATTTCCATTTCCAAAAGGGCCAATCTCATTTCCATTGCTCCTAAAATATTTTTTTTTAATAAATTTTTAATGATTTTCATATTTTTTAAGCCTTTCACTTAATTTTAGCCATCTTCTACATAAGTGTAATAGCGTTGGGTCAGTTATAAAAGATTTCCTCTGTGTATAACAATAAAGAAAATTCCACTTCAGTTTGTGGATATAATATAAATTCTTATCAACAATGAAACATGTTACATGTCTGAACAGGTCTTTGACTCAAATGAAATTCAGAATTAATTACATTATGATACCCAAAAGCTTACTTAAAACTAGATCAAATGATCAAAATAATCTTGCCACCATGCAGGTACATAAGATAAACACTTAGATATACAGTTGTGTCTATGTATATATATAAGTTTAGATTAATCAAAATCCATATTTTTTTTTAGTCATGCAAGGTGATAATGCCACTAAAATGCAAGGTGTTACAGAAAGTGAAAGAGAATGAGAAGGCTTTAGTGAAGACAATAAAAGAACAGGTTTCATGAAGACAGAAATTGCATTTAAATTTTTGAGGATTGTAGGTGACAGGGAAGCAAGAAATCAGAAGTGATTTCCACAGGTGAGAAGTGCAAGAAACTATTAGAATAGAACTTACAGTTACATTTATCTATTTCAATATTAAAATGCTAGTTGCCAATCTAGTAGTATTCTTAAATTCATATGGTCAGGGTACCAAGGAGTAAAGCTCATCAAAACAATTGCCATGAAAACATTTATAGAAAAAATAGAGGGAAGCTACATCATGGTGACGGGAAAGTGACTGAAGTCAAGATGCCAGTTCAGGACTGATTACATTAACGACTCTTCTTTGGATTTTGCTAAGAATCTCAAGATATATAGCACCAAACCAGATATGGCAGCAATATTCAATGCATGGATAAATGTCAGATTTATAAATGTGCAAGAATTCCATTAGTAAGGAGGAAGTACCATTTGAACAGCTTCATCTCAAAAACTGCTACTTTACAGAACAGGCTTCAGAGAGAAGGCTTTCCAGATGACTACAGTCTTAACCTCTTCAAGTTTAGAGTTAACTGTTATCTATATACAACAACCTCATTCCATAACACACTACATTGAGTGGCTTTTGTACTGGGTGTGAAGTTAAGAAATGTCGAGTCTGGTCAGTACTTACATGGGTGACCACTTGGAAATACCAGGTTTTGTAAGCTTGGATGTGCAGGTGGTGTAATAGATAATCATTCAGAATTGTTAATCAAAGAGCTGTGTTCCAATAACAGTTGGGTTCATTATATTTACTAATATGCAAATACCCTTGGGAAAGGTATGAATCAACCTCTTCTCCCTTCAGTTATGAGTTAATTAGTAAGACTTGTATCACTAATACAATTATTATTTTTTTAAAACTATTATATTTTTATAAACTAAAAATATTTTCTTGCTTTAAATAACCTGCCAAGGGTTGATAAGCTGAGGAGAAGGAATCAATCAATGTATTGGATGGAAAAATTGAGTGTAAAAAAATTGTAGGATT